AGACCCGAAGCGGAATCCAAGGTAATAAAAAGTATGACTAGATTGCAAGGCTAGGATTGGAGTTGTGAAGCGTCAGGAGTCTAACAAGTATTATATTTCATTTTAAAAGAAGTACATAGCCATTCATTGATAACCTTGGATATGGTGCATTTGTTGAGATCTCACAGTGAAGTTACAGAATCTAAAAAAACACTCATTCACACACTTGGTCTGGTAAATATACGAGAAGGATAAGCTTAGATGCTACCAAGGATTTGGTGTGAGCCAGGCGACTGGTCGGGTGAATAAAGATAAACCAGAATCGATGCACTGTCTCAGATGTTTATCATGTAGATCATTAGTGTAACTGTGGAGTACGTATTTGAATTCATGGCATTTCTGGCATAGAAACAATATCCGATCATGAATCCCCACAATCTCTACCCATCGAGGAGGAGGAAGAGGAGCAGGAGCAGCATTCTTATTCGTATTCTTATTATCACTAAACTCCAGCTTGAAAACTTGAAATGCTTCAGCATAATTAGGTGGACATACAAGCAGCTTCTTAGCATGATCGTCCGGAAAAGTAATCATAATCAACTCCTTCGATGTAGAAAAATCTTTTGCAAGGAAAAGACGACCCTTTTTTATCCTAAATATATAGTCGAACCTCTCACGATCTGGCAGCCTGGGGGTGCCGTCAAGTACAACCAACCTTTGAGCTGTGTAGTGGAGTTGTTGATCATCATTTGTGTCAAACTGAAACACGAATAAAAACTGGGACAGGTTCTTGGTTGCAGCATATAGCTTCCCATCGATGAACTCTATAGATTCAAAGTTGAGGACCTTCTCATCAATTCGGGTCCATGATTTATCAGTGGGTCTACAGACACCCAGCCACGTCTTTTCAATGCCTCTGGAAAGGCAAGCCACAATACATGTACATGGGAGGGATGGGGGGCTGGGTACTGAAGAGGCTACAAGTTTACTGATGAAGGACGCAGCTGTGAGCTCATGTTTGCATGGTGGAAGTATCACTCGGCCACCAGAGATGGGATTCAGTAAGGTAATTATGGATCCAGTCCCATCAACTCTCATCAACCACCCCTCAATTGACCCAACATATTCATCATGCGCATCATCACTCGGCAGATTTAATTTGTAAGACTTCGGCTCATACTCACAGTAGCTTAAAAAATGGCGATCACGAGAACAGAAAAGCCATGGAAGTTGAGGAGCAGGACGACACCGTTTGCTGGAAATTGCCCTATCAACAGAGTCTCGCCATGAACGGCATACTGAGCGACACCGAAAAAAATCGAATATGGATAGCCTATGTAGAACCGATTGCATGATATCATCTGGGACTTGTTTCGACCACTTGCTGCTGCTGTTGCTGACTATCACCCATTTCTTCCTAATAATTGTCTGCTTAGACTTGGCATTCGAAATATTCTCCATCCGATTCCTCATCGCCATCTATAAATCCTTAATTAGTTATTATTAATCTGATAAAAGTAATCAAAATCTGAGCAAGCAAGGGAAAAATCAAAATTACTGTCAATTTAGCCGGATGTAGACACAATTAATGATCAAAATCGTCGAATTAAAAACCAAAACGAAACACAGACAGACAAAAAATTTCTTCTCATACTAACAAAACAATGTAGCTAGGGAGAATATATATATATTATTAGTTTATTTTTACTCAAGGGAACAAGGTTTCTGAATCCTACCCAACCCAAGTAAGTGTTTGATATAATTTGGCTGTAGACACGCACACGACCTAATCGACTTATTACAAGTTGCATGTCAAATAGAATTCAAGGGATCCAAAAAGGTCCTACAAAGAAAACAAAAACAAAAAACTTACCTGGCCAACAAGATTGTAATTATATCCAACAGATCCAATTCAGAAAGAATATATATATGAGTTTATATAGACGTATATATGGAGTTTCCTTGTGGCGTTGAGGGATTAGGACTCCTGTTACTTTATGTATATCAAATAACTGTACATACACTAGCGGACCCAAGAATTTTTTAGCAGAGGTGTAATTTTGAAAGGGTAAAAGCTTTATAATAAATAAAAAATTGACAACCAAATATCCTTATAATAGTCTTAGGCCTATGATTATGACTAATTGACTATAGTATATCAATTAATATAGAAATCAATATTAAATCATTAATTAATCTAACGAAAATCAATATCAAATTATTAATTAAATAAGTAAATCATAATTGATCGTACCTCGACTCGTGCGTCGCACAACCTCTTTCTCCACGAGTTTGTTACTGATCATATGAATACAACAGAGAGAGCCAAATTTTAAAAAAAAGAAAAAGAAAAGATTATTTAGAAACAAAATTGGTGTTTGGTCAAGAAGAAGAAAAAAAGCATAAGACTTACTTTGGAGTTGTGCAATTGGTGTTTGTTCCTTAAAAAAAAAACGTTTGCTCAAAATTAGCTTTAACAAAATTGGTGTTAATCCTTTATAAAGATAACTCCTCCCCCAATCCCACATAAACAAGGAGTTGTGCAATGCAAGAGTTTCCTTTTAAAAAAAAGAAGAACAAAAACTTATTTAAAGGGCTTTTTTTAATAGCCTTTTTTCATGTTTTAAGTAGCCCATATCAGAGCTTGTTAAAGCCCACGTTTAGTGTAAGTCCAGTTTCTTTTTTTCTTTTTGAAAACCATGGTCCAAAACGAAGTCGTTTTGGCTAGGATGTTTAAAATAAAAAAAATAGGTGCACATAGCAACAACCCAGCGTAGCAAACCTTGGTTTTGGTTGAGGCAATTCATCGAACAGGTTGACTACACCATCCAACCTCACCAAAGGGGCAAGATGTAGCGCCTGTAGAGACTTTTCTGGCAAAAGAAAGTGCAGCTGCACTTCCTTGCACCATAATATGTCATGTGTACATCCAATCCAATCCAAGTCAATCCAAAGTGGATTAGGACATAAATGGGAATGGGCTTCATTTTGTCTTTTGCTTTTATGTATTTATCACCATCTGATCGGATCATTGTGAAATCAACGGGTATTGACAAACTTCCAAAACCAAGCCATGACATTTTTTGTTGGCTTATTATCACAAAGCGTCCCTGACGTTTGCGAAACTATCACATTGCATCCTTAAAGTTTTTTTGTATCACTCATGGTCCCTAACGTTAATATAAGTGCTCTCAAATAGTCCTTCTGTTAAAAAAAATGTTAAATCTAGGGATATAATCGTCAAATCAATCCAAAATTATAATATATATATATATATAAGTTTCTCTCTCCCCTCTTTCTTTTTTGTTGCCTTTCCTTCTCTCTTCTCTCTCTCTCTTCCTTTCTTTTTTTCTTTTTTCTTCCTCTCCCCGAGTGCAGGCTTCTCTCTCCTCTTTCTTTTTTATTTCATTCCCTTCTCTCTTTCTTTCTTCTTCTTTTTTCTCTCTTTCTTTTCTTCTTCTTCTTACTCTCACCGAGTTCACTCTTCTCTCTCTCTCTCTCTCTCTCTCTCTGTCTTTCTTTTTTTCTTCTTTCTCTCTCTCTTTCTCTCTCGCTATTTGACCCAGCTCCAACCGAAGAATCTATGAAATGGGTTTTGGTCCACTTGGCCCTGGAGCTTGTAGGAATGTGATAATTTGAGATTGGAAGTGAGAGAATTTGGGAACAAGGAAAGATCATGAGAAGGGTTGAAGGGAGGCTGTGTGAAGAATTTTCACCTGCATATTATGGGCTCTGCACTGTTGGTGAAATGCTCAGTGCTGGCACTACCCATCTTGCAATCACGCCTCTTGATGTCTTGAAAGTTAATATGCAGGTTCGTTTTATTGATTAAGAGAAGGGAAGGAAATAAAAAAGAAAGAGGAGATAGATGACTGAACTCGGGGAGAGGAAGAAAGAAGAGAAAAAGAAAGAGAGACAAAGACAGAGAAGAGAGAAGGAAAGAAAACAGAAAAGAAAGAGGGGAGAGAGAAACTTATATATATATATATATTATAATTTTGGTTTTTGTTTATACGAAGTACGAACCACCAAGCCATGAGTCCATGACCTTGCAACCTCTCACAGAAGGAAAAAACAAAAAATAAAGAAAGCCAGTAATGCTTTTTTTTTTGGGGGTGTTTTTTTTGGAATGCTAATTTCTGTTTTCTTTTTCAGAGATATTTTCTAAGGTATGGACGTCTGTTATTTTTGTTTTCACGTTATCTAAGGAACAAATTGTGGGTCTTTTTTCGGTGCTTATCTTATATATATATATATTTTTTTTGTTGCTGTTGCTTAGAATTACTTATTAGCAAAACAAAAAACAAAAAAAAGTGTTTATTTATAAAGAAAAGTTATTGTGACATCTTAATTTAACATTAATTGATTTAAGAGAAAAAAAGTTGTGGGTATTTATGTTTTTTGACCAATTATGTACGCTTCCCAACATTTACAGTGAAAAAAAGTTGGCATGTTTTCAGTCACTTATTTCTACAACCTACCATCCTTTAGTTATTACTTGACTTGTTCCCCTTTTATTTTGTTTATCTTTGTCTGGGGTCTTTTTGGTCCAGCCCTTATTCTTGTTCTATTTCTCCTTTGTGACAATGAATCAGCTTCCAAATCACTCAAAGGCTCCAAGAAAACCACATTAAAAAAAACATCATACAAGACATTGTGAATTTCATTAACCGTAGGTTTACAATTGTTGTTCTTCTACATCTTCCATGAAGTCAGGATCAGGTTAATGTTCATCATGAAAAACTCAGACTTGATCTTCATAACGAGTGGTACAAGTGGTATCCAATGTCTCTAAATATACATCAACGGCTAACGACTGATGTTGATTTCTATTACTGAACAACCACACCACACCGGCCTGCAGCCCTTTCACGGTAAAAAAGATCCATGAACCTCCCCCCAAACAAAACCAAAGCAAACCAATCGTTAGTTTACACTTTTCAAAAATTTTGTATTTTTTTCAGTGGCCCAAATTTAACAACACCTATAGGCTATCTTTGTGTTCTGAATTTTTTAATCTAGCTTAAACCTAGCCCAAGGAGCTCGTCTATGTTGAGTAAGAATTCTTCTATAGTTTGGGAGTGATCAAATTGGTATAAGCCTCTTGTGGGGATTTAATATGTGGGCTGAGCCTAGAACCAATAGGCCTCACTTTGCTGAATATGAACTAGTCGATAAGTTGAAACCCAATCCATTACCTCTCTTTTACAATATTTGGGGAGGTCACAATTTCGGATCAACCCACTTAATTGCTCAAAAAAGCATAAACCAATATATATGGATTGGGTTATCGATTGGAACAAAAACTTAGGAGTGTTCATAATTTTGGGTTAATCTGATCAAACCGTCCAATCCAATCACAAAAGGATTGGATTGGCAGCATAATGAGCGAGTCTTGAGTCCAAAAATTATAAACTGACCCAACCCATGTAATTACGAGTTGAGACCAATGATAATTATGGGTTAAGTTGACCTAATAATGAGGAGTCTTGGTCTAATAATGAGCGGGTCTTAAGCCTAATAATGGGTTGGATTATGAGTTGGGACCAAAACTGACCTAACCCAACTCGTGCCCAACCCTATAATATAATAATATTTTCTTATTGTATTAATGAGGGCCGAAGACCGGCAAAAGAAAACTAACCAAAACCTAATTTGAACTAAGAGACTCTACATAAATCCTCAAACTAATAACGTTGTTACATTAACTTTCATTGGAGCAAATCATAGGAACCTGTTTTTTATTTTCAGAAATTACGATAACATTTCATTTACTATTTCTTGTCGAGCATATTAACCTTCATGGTTGTTCTAAAAAAAAAAACTTCATGGTCAAAAAAACTTTTGAACAGATGAATCACATAATCTTATCAGTTGATAAGAAGCTATAGATAAACATATCTCTAATCTCACCTTTGCAATACCCATATTTCCTCAACAACCCTTCTTTCAGAAACCCAACTTTCTCCAAAACCCTTTGAGACCCCTTATTCTCAACCTCCACCAAAGCCTCAATCCTCACCAAACCTGAGAGCTCTTTGAACACCCTACACATGGCCATCCTCAATGCCACTGTTGCAATCCCTTGCCCCCAGTACTCTGCAGACACAACATAGCTAACATGTGCTCTACACGTGTCATCACCCTGTTCTGGTTTGACAGAAACATATCCAATTGATTGGTCATCCAAACATATGGACTGACGCCATGGATGTGGTATTGCAAACTTCTCAATATATGCCAAGGCTTCTTCCCTAGAGGTTATGGTGTTCCATCTTAGATAGCGTGTTACTTTATCATCACTTGCCCATTTGAGGAAGTTATCGGCATCAGAGAGTTTGAAAGGACGAAGGGAAATTCTTGATGAGTTCATTGAATTGCAGGAAATTTGAGATGGTTCCAAGCTCAATTTGGAATAAGCAGGCATATAAAGTGGTGGATTATATGAATGTGTGTTGCTTTGCCGTGGAGGACCAGGTCAATTATTTTGATACTTGCCATTCAAAATCTTGTCCAATAATGCATTTGGGTGCATTGAACCTGCCTAGAGTACTAGTACTACAAGCATACAAATTGGCCACTATCTAGTTAGTGGTCCGGGTTGAGCTGGATTAGAAAGGATGGGAGAAATGGAAAAATAATTAAAAATTGGGTCGAGTTAAAGTCTGGCTAATTCCGAACATAGTTCCATTCCTAATAATAAATATTGTCGAGAGTTAAAATATAACATGTATATGAATCTGAATTATAAATAACAACTTCAAACACATGTTATGTTTTAACGACGGTACTTGTCATTCAGCCTGTTATGTGTTAGGATGTACAATTAGGTTTTTTATTGGTGGATGGAATAAATTGCCTAGCAATATGCTAGAGGCATTGTAAAAGTACTTACAAAGGTAGATAATTATCTGAATTGTAATTCAATATCATACAAGCCTGACTGCAAATGCTTCAACATAAGCTAGCTAGCATGAAAACGGTGAGTTTCAAGGCATAGGATCAGTGGACAGAAGACTATACATGAAACTATCTTGAACTACACCTTTGTGAAAAGTATACTTCCTCAAGAGGCCTTCCTTGTAGAACCCAAGTTTCTCCAACACCCTCTGGGAGGCCTTGTTCTCCACCAAAACCAGAGCTTGCATTCTGACCAAATCAGTGAGCTCTTTAAACCCATTACTTATGGCCATCTTCACAGCTCTGGTTGCTATGCCTTGTCCCCAATACTCAGCAGCTAACGCGTATCCCACCTCTGCTCGACACTTGTCATCACCACCTTGGGCTTGATGAAGAGAAATCCGATCGAACGGTCATGGATGCAGATGGATCTGCAATAAGGGTGAGGGATGCAAAAATCCTTGATGTAGGAAAGTGCTTCTTCCTTAGAGGTGAATGTGTTCCAACGAGTGAATTGTGTTACCTTTTCATCACCGGCATACGTCAAGAAGTCCTCAGCATCTGAGGGCCTATAAGGACGGAGTGTGATTTCCAGAGAATTATTTGCCATTTCCTTTGTGATTAAGTTCTATGAGTGATTGGCTAGCAGGTTTACATCACAAATATATACGTACAAAGCTATTCCTCTAATTTTTAAAGCATCTCCACCAACTCGGTATGTCAAATTGTCATATAGCGATAAAATGACAACAGTTCAAAAGGAAGAAGTTGCTCAACATGATACTTGGATTTGAATATAATAAATAAAAAAATTGTTATTTACCCATTTCTCAATAATTGAACCAATTTGCACAGAACGTGAAATAATGAAGAAAAACAAATTGTCTTTTTCAACAGAAGTAAACAAAGTGTCTTTTTAAACAGAAGCAAAACTGCAAAGAAAAACAACATGCCCAGTGTTGCCCTTGGTAATTGGTCAACCAAGGCGGCCACAACAAACACATTACTTTCTTGCTGACTGCTACATTTTCTTCTTGCTCACCACTCCAAATAATTGACCAAAAGCAAAGAACCCACCTTGACCAAGTTGACCCTACTCGGTATAATACAAAACGTTATTTCATGGCAATTTCTTATGCCTCACTTTTTTGAGCATACATAAACCCAAAGGCCCTCAAATTCTTCCCACAATTACTCATATAATTTCCAAGTGACCGCAGTGAGAATTTGCCCACATGGAGAGAAGTTCAGGCCTATCAAATGGAAGAGAAGACAGTGAAGCTGACTTCTCCATGATCACACTTAGGCCTTTGGAGCTTTCTGACATTGATGATTTCATGGTGTGGGCTACAGATGAGAAAGTGGCTCGTTTCTGCACTTGGGAACCTTATGCCAGCAAAGAAGAAGGCCTAAACTTCATCAAAAATGTTGTTCTTCCCCACCCCTGGTTCATGGCAATCTGCCTTGAAAACAGGCCTATTGGTGCCATTTCGGTGACCTCGAATTCGGGCAACGATAAGTGCAGAGGAGAACTTGGCTATGTTTTAAGGTCCAGGTACTGGGGCAAGGGGATTATGACACAGGCTGTGAAATTGGTGGCTGATATTATATTCAAAGAGAGGACACATTTGGAGAGGCTTGAAGCTCTTGTTGATGTGGAAAATGTGGGATCTCAGAGGGTGCTTGAGAAGGCAGGGTTTCAGAGGGAAGGTGTTCTGAGGAAGTACATTATTTTGAAGGGAAGAAGTAGGGATATGGTGATGTTCAGCCTTCTTTCCACAGATTGGCAAACTTGATGTATTTGTAATTTGTAAGCCCAGTAAAAGCAACAAGAACATTAATTATGTATTGATTTTATCTATTTTTCATGATTTTTGTTTGAATTTTGAGATCAATGGGATATGCGTAGAGCAATGAAGAATGAAATCCAGACATTTGTGATAGAGATTTTCTATTTAAACCCCACACTTCTCTTAGTTCACCCCAATTTTTAATTTAAATTTTCACAATTTCTAAGAAAACCCCACTATCTTCCTAAACTACCCTTAAATACACCCCAAACTGAAAAAATAAGAAATAAAAGAGATTTTCTATTTAAACCCCACAAGCTACCTTTAGAGGAGGAAGCCATGAGAAATAGGAACTTCCATTATCTGTTACAGAATTCTAGTTCGTTAGAATTGAGAACAGAACAAAATGTCACATATGTTCAGATAATCTCAATCATCTCCCTAATCCCATGACAACTGCTTTCGATCTTAAGTTCTTAGCAATACGACAACAAAAATTATATCAACAAGTTTGTAGGGATGAAGTTGCTTAAGAACTTCAGTTCTGAAATTATCAAAACTTTCTCGAAAGTACCTTTAATGCTAGCTCTTCGAAGCATTGCTCCACATTTTCTCTAGTTTTTGCGCTACATTCAAGATCTTTTGCAAGAGCAAGCCCCTCTTCTCTACTTACAGCCCTTTCAGATTCCTGAAATCATATAGAATTTCTTTCTTAACTTATTCAATAGATTGAGATAATAAAAAAAGGCCTTGTCTTTTCAACAAGTAAATTTCTTTCTTAACTTGTGGACGGGATTAAGTTTGATTATGTTTCAATGTTGGTTGTTATTCAGGCCTGTGCAGGAATTGGATCTATTGAATTAGGCAGGCAAATTCATCAAATGGCTATTAAGAATAGTTACAGTGATGATCTGTTCATAGTAAATGCATTGCTGAATATGTACAGTGAGTGTGGATGTTTCAAGCTATCACGTAAATTATTTGAATTTGTCTCCAGCCGTGATGTTGCTTTGTGGAATTCCATGCATTGAATATGGCTTTTATGAGGAAGCTTTGAGCTTGTTTTCTAAAATGCGAATAGAAGGAATCAGAGAAGACGAGAGAACTATTGTTATAATGTTGTCGGTATGTGAAGATTTAGCTGATGGCTTGAGGAACGGTAAAAGTTTGCATGCTCTTGCAAGAAAGAGTGGGATGAAAACGGATGCTTCTCTAGGAAATACATTGTTGAGTATGTATGCTGAATTTAACTGTGTTGAATCTGTTCAGAAGGTTTTTGCTGAGATGAAATACTCAGATGTTATCTCATGGAACACTCAGGGCACTAGCCTGCAATGGATTGCAAGATGAAGCATGGAAAATATTTGGGGTGATTCTGACACCAAACCTAACTCACACACAATAATATCTATCCTTGCTACTTGTGAAGATGAAACTTGTATAAATATAGTGCGAGCAATTCATGGTTTTGTGATAAAACATGGTATTGAAGCTGACCTATCCTTGAACACTGCACTAACAGATATGTACATGAATTGTGGTGATGAAGCAGCAGCTAGGACTGTATTTGAGGGCTGTCCCAGTAGGGATGTGATCTCATGGAATGCTTTAATTGCAAGTTACATAAAAAACAATGAAATCGGCAAAGCTCAGTTACTCTTTAACCGTATGGTTTCAGAAGTGAATCCCAACTCTGTGACAATCATAAATATTCTATCATCATGTACCCAGCTTGCCTCTCTGCCTCTAGGTCAATGCTTGCATGCTTATGCAAATCGGAGGCAATTCTCATTTGGTTTTGATTTGTCTCTTGCAATGCTTTTATATCAATGTATGCAAGAAGTGGTAGCATGCAAAATGCTGAAAAGATGTTTAAAACTTTACCAAAGAGGAATGTTATCTCATGGAATGCCTTGATTACTGGGTACAGCATGCACGGTCACGGACATGATGCTATTCATGCGTTCTTACAAATGTTAGAAGATGGTTTTCGACCAAATGGGGCAACTTTAGCCAGCTGGTGTATCACCGAAGCTTGCAAACTCAACAGCAACAACCTTCTTGTTATAAAATCTTAAAGATCCTTAGAAGAAACTCTCTGATAATTGTTTTTCATGTAAACAAACAAAAAAAAAATTGCAAAATCAGAAACATACGTAAATTGGACGCCATGGTAGCCACGGATAGAGACTCGAACTCGTAGTTAGGCGGCCTGGGCGGATCTGGGCGGCCTGGGAGGATCTAGGTGGCGCCTAGGCGGTCCGGGCGGATCTAGGCGGTGACTAGGCGGCCTTGTCGGGTCTAGGCGGGTCTGGGAGCCAGGGCTGGTCGTGTCCTTTTTTTTTTTTTCCAAATGAAGACAGCGGGAGACTCGGCCATGACTTGGTCTCTGCCTTGTATTCTCTACGATACTTCAGAATCAGAGATGGGCTTATTGTCTATCAGTCGCTCTAGATTCTTCCTTCTTAAAACTAGTTTGACCTGTGAAAAAGGATATTAATCTCTGCAACTGCAACTTGGTTGGAGTAAAAGGTCTTCATAATCAGAAGGACCTTACATGTCAGCAAAAGAAACGAGTAATGGAGTCACCAACGTAACGTGGAACCTACGTGTAATAGATATCTCACAATCTGAAACCTGACCTGTCAGGCTGTCACCTGAGATGAAAAAGACAGAAAACCCATGCCACCTTGATTACTGGGTACAGCCTGCACGGTCACGGACATGATGCTATTCATGCGTTCTTACAAATGTTAGAAGATGGTTTTCGACCAAATGGGGCAACTTTAGCCAGCTGGTGTATCACCGAAGCTTGCAAACTCAACAGCAACAACCTTCTTGTTATAAAATCTTAAAGATCCTTAGAAGAAACTCTCTGATAATCGTTTTTCATGTAAACAAACAAAAAAAAATTGCAAAATCAGAAACATACGTAAATTGGACGCCATGGTAGCCACGGATAGAGACTCGAACTCGTAGTTAGGCGGCCTGGGCGGCCTGGGACGATCTAGGCGGCGCCTAGGCTATCTGGGCGGATCTAGGCGGCGACTATGCGGCCTCGTCGGGGCTAGGCGGGGGGGGTGCTTTTTTTTTTTCTCCATCTCTCCCCTTTGGCCATGCCCATCCTTCCCACCTCTCCGTTGCTAGGTCCTTCCTTCCCCCAACAACCCCCATCCTTTTCTTCAAGTTTTTTTCCTTTCTCTAATGTTTTATTTTATTTTTATTTTTATCTGATCAGTTTTTAAAATTTGCCAATATGTTAAAAATGGAAAACATGGCTTTTTACATTTAAGCTTTTTTTAATAATAATTTTTTCCATTTTTAAAATACCTTTGAAAATGAAAAGACTAAAATACCCTTAAAAAAGATGGAAAATTGGATGATGTTAAAGTCAGGTGACAAATCATGGATTTTAAAAAATTCAGGTGACATTTCTTTTTAATTTTTTTTAATTTTTTTTTAAGGTGACAAATTGAAACTAATGCATAAATTCAGGTGACATTTCTACAAATATCCCTATGTTATATTGTGAAACCGTAGTTGGTTGGTTAAATGCAACTATATTCGAATTTTTCACATTCTTTTTAGTCATTGTGTATATTAGCCATCAATCGTTGATCTAACTACTGTAATTCTAGTTTTTAAAAGTAACAAGTTTGATATGTTATGTTGTGAAACCGTAGTTGATTGGTTAAGTGCAATCATATTTGAATGTGTATCTTATTTCATAGTTTGACTACGTAACACAATTATAATTAACATACGATTTATTAATTTTACATTCATTAGGATAAGAAGTTCAAACTTGAAACTTCTTCTAATACCAAAAATAAATTACCATTAAACTGCTCCAATTTGCAGGGTTGCAGTTCCTTGCACTCTTTGACTTAAACTTGCCTAGTATTTGTTCTGGCAATTGGTCAACCAAGGCTGCTGGCCATCAAGCGCGAAT